CAAAACCAAGCACACGTGGGTCCTTCTCACCATCACTGATGAACGTCAGGACACTGCGTTCACCTTCAAACTCATGGAATGGGGCTGCAAGGTCAACAAGTGTTGTAAGCTTCTCACACAGCTCCAAACAGTACCAGTCATTGCCGTCCTTGACAAGTGTTGTTCGAAAACGCTCACCATGCATGCCAGGGACCATCAAAGAAGGATCTTGGAAATGACTTGAGTAGTGTCGACCAATCCCCAAACCAAATTGATCCAAATGCCAACCAACTGCACCTTGCTCAATTGAAGGCAGGACTGAGGCTTTCACAGCTCGAATGGACGTTGGGACTTCAGGTTGAGGTTGAAGCTCTGCCCCAATTGCTCTAACCCAACCACGCACCACCATGGACTTGTTTTGCAGTTCAATTGGAATCTTTGTACCACTTGATGCATGATTGAGAGTCTGATCTATGCCATCAACTCCCCAACCGTTTTCCAAAAGTTTGCCAAAACAAATGATGGGCTGAGAAACACCTGGGCTCACGGCTCCACGTTCCCTGAATGTCACAAGACATCCATGTTCATCCAGAAGCGCAATCTCAACATCACGCATGCCAGCTACAGGAATTTGTTTTCCCTGTGCATCGTGCAGTTTCATGTTTCCAGTGTATGAAGGTTCACCTGCTGATGCAAAACACATTGGAAATACTGAGGCATTGGCTCCACTGTCAAGCAGAATGTTGTGCATAGCACTGTGGTCAGGAAGCTCTTGGATCACAGTACGCACTTCTGCAGTTGTATGCTCAAAATCCACAGCATCATCATCACCAATAAAATAGTGAATTGTACAAATGTTTGCATCTGGCGTCATTGGGCTCGAACGTAAATCAAACACCAGTGAAGCATCATTGCCTGCATGAAACTCTTCAGCAATGCGTGCAACCTTGTATTGGGTTGACTTAGGAGAGGGCTGTGGCTGTTGTGACACCTGAGACTGTTGGCTACCTTGTCCTTGCTGTTGCTGAGAAACGCTTGTAAGATGGCTCCACTCACCTGTGTTCACTGTAGAGGAAGGTGATGAGGTAGTTCCAACCTGTGCAGAACGTACAGCATTCCAACAATCACGTGCAAAGTGTCCCATGCCACCACATGAACCACAGTACTTCTCAGCACTGTTGCCTTTTCCTTTGCCCTTGTCATTGGGCATCTTTCCTTTCGATTTTCCACCTTTGTCCCAAGACTTGGACTTTCCATCTTTTGACTTCCCTTGGGATTTTCCTCCTTTGCTCTTGCCTTTCTGAAAACCTTTGCTTGGCTTTCCTTTTCCCTTTTGACCCTTTCCTTTGTTCCATCCACCTTTTCCTTCAACTCTGTCAATCTCCATCGGTTGGGCATCTGTTTCCTGGCTGCCCATCCATTGAGACCACTTTGCCTGAGCGCGGTCCCATTTCAAGACTTGCTCTCGAAGATCAATGTACTTTGCACTGTCAGTCAAAGCCATGTTGAGGTGCGTCTTCAACTGGCCTCCAATGCAACGCAATAGGATGGCACTGCGCAACTCATCACTAAGAGCCATACCACTCTTTCTGGCCTCCTCATAGGCTTCCTCCAAAACCAAGAGTTGGGGAAGAAGAGGCTTCTGCATTCCAAAAGGCTGCCATGAAGTGATAGCAGTCAACAAAGCCAAACCACGATTTTGAACTGGGGGACGTAGCGCCAAAATCAGTTGACGTAATGCCTCAAAACCTTTGCCACTTGCAGTGGACTTGACAATGGCCAGGCACCTGTTCTTCATGAGGCTGGCCAAGAGGGAGTAGAGCTTGTTGCTCCTGTTCCTTGTTTCAACGCTAGCTGTATCCATTGGCAACTCGACAGAAGGATCAGCTGTAAGCTTCTTGAGCTCATCGTCATAGCCTTCATCGATTGCAACCAAGTACTGATGTAGCTGCCATTGGTAATCCCTCCAAGCCTTGACATCGTCCTCCACAGATTTGCCTTCACCAAAAGTAGAGGGTTTATTCAGCAGTTTGGACCAATCCACGTTGGCCTTGACTCCACCTGATGATGCAGTTCCACCATTGCCTGCACCTGTACTGCTAGCTGCACTTGCTGCTGCAGCTGCACTCTTAGCAGCTGAAGCTGCCGCAGTAGTTGATCTGCAACTTGTAAGAGAGCCGCTTGAAAGATGTTGGGGTCAAATTGACCTGCTGCCATCAGTGTATATATCCAGCAATCTGTAGGCGCTCAAAACTGTATATGCGTCCAACCAATAGATGAAAAACCAGTCAGTTAACGCGTCCAGCAAAAGTCCCAAAAATTGTAGATGTCCACCAGGCTGCAGTCACACCTGAATTGTAAAAGGCACGTCCAAGTCTATGGCTTAACCAAGGTCGGAAACGTAAGCCCTGGGAAATCTCACAGCTGCTCCGCTACCATGCAAAAAGTCAGCCGGAGATGCGCAATCTTTTCTTGAACCGCAGGGCCTAAGGTCAGAAATGTAATTCACATGCCTCAAAGGTCAAAATGTTCACATGGTCTTCATGTGATTGAAGTGAATTCTGAACTCATTGATTTGTATGCGTGTCATCCTTGTGCAGTGGCCATGAACATGCAAGTGAGTAGGACTGGAAATCTCTTGCATTTTCAGGGTTGGCTATAGTAAGGAGTCAGTGATCAGACCCTTTCGGGCCTTTCACGATGCAGTCGCAATCTTCGCACCGGCAAAAAAAAAAGGAAGCCCTCCCGTCTCGACTGTGACAGCCCCCATCAGGGTTTCCAGACGGAAGATGGAGCTACGACCTTGGCTAGTCACTTGTCGAACAGCCTGATCTACAGGCCATGTTGTCTGGGACAGGCTGAGGGTCAACAGAACACCCAAAGATGTTCCTGAGGGGCTCGTTTTTTAAGCCCCTTAGACAAAACATGCCTTTTTATCTAAGGGACAATTTTTGACTTTTGGAGCGTTCTATCATTGCTGATGTCTTCTATAGGTTTGACGTTAGTTTCCTGCTAAAGTTCGAAGATGTTTCAGGGGCAAGGCTGAGCATTTATCATTTATCTCACAGAACCTTCCATGCCGGGTGAAACTGTGCTCATGGGCTACTGCATGAAGCAGTTGCGCAGAGTATGCATCATATATCAGATAATATCTTCGCGTGACAGGTTTTTCATGGCACGACACGTTTATCATGGTATGATAGGCTTACCATCAAATGATAAGACGCAAGACAATTTTGTTTGTGGCATGATCAGTTGCTGACCACAAAGCCCGGGATCATCTACTGTAATTACTGGTATGATAGGCTCTGGTATAACAAGCTACCATTTTCGCCAAAAATCTGCGCGTTTAAGAGGTGTAATTTGCTGGGCAAAAGGCGTAATTATGCGCAATTGGGCAACCCACTTTCAATTTCGGTCCAGGTTTTTCAGGCACGAGACGGGTCACAAACCATGGGCGCAACGCAACGCAAACAACGCAAACAATTTTGAATGAGCCTGACACTGGGACCATGGATCCCCCACCTGTCTTTGGTTTGGGTTTTCTTGTCGCAGCTTTGCCCTCCATACTATGGCGACTTGCTCATCCACTGGCATGTCATGCAGCTCCGTCGCTCATTAGGTGCTAGAAGCCGGCAACAACAGTTGTAGCATCGGAATCACATGGAACAAATCTACTTGGATACGATTCAGGGATGAATCTTCCACACTCCTCTCAAGAAAACTGCCACGGGCGTTTTTCTTTTGAGGGGCCGAGAATCTGTACCCTTAGCTAAGGGGAAAAAAGAATGGGCACAGGTGGGCCCTGCAGGGTCGAACTATTCCCTACATGTTGCATGGCCACGAGGGCCGTGCACTGATTGTAAGTTTTCAAGGGGTGGATGGAAGGATGCCAACTTGTCCATGGACCTGCTGAACTCCAAGAAGAATTTTGGTAGAAAAGTCCATGGAAAATATTGGGTTTTTATTGTTTCCACCTGAAGGTCGAGTTGTGCAGTTTGGGCTGCGCTCCACCAAGAAGTTCATCCGTTCAGGTTGATTTACTGTGGGAAACTCTAGCTGCCGCGGTCAGTGGCCCAACAAGTTGTGCGTCATGGATGGAACAGGCTGGAATCTTTGAACAATCATACTTCTATTCATTGGCCATTTCAGGAACCTAAGTTGGAGGTACCTACCTACCATATATAAGGCCTATATAAGGCCTATGTAAGGGAATATCCCCACAACATGTGGCCTTATACGGTACAGTACCTCCATTTTAGGATCCTGAAATTATCATTGATCTATTCATTCTATTCTGTGCTTCAACTACTTGAATATGCATCAAGTATTGTGTGCATGTGCCTGTGCAACTCCCCGGTCGGAATGTAAGGAAGCATATCAACCGTGTGCACAGCTTGCTTCCATGAAAAAGCGGAATCTTGTCTGTCAGACCTAAAATCATCTAAAATCCATATGGAATCGCATACTGCGTGCCATGGTTGCAAACATCGAGGGATCATGAGGGATCAAAACATTACTCGTGTGCACTTTGTGAAATCTTAAATGCACAATCTGACATCGAGCTACTCAAGTAAGTCGGGACCTCGAGTACCAAGTGCTATTGCCTCAACCCGGCATGCCTAGACCTCAAATATAGTTGAGGATCATGCGCCTTGCAACGTGGAGTGACGAAGATGTCATAGGGCGCATAGCGAGATGTGCCCGCAAGGTTCAAAGGGCACGCAACACTACCAAGCAGTGCCTATCACCTTCAGGGACAATCAAAGGAATGGCTGAAGGTCATCCCCGGCTCTGAGAGCCCCAACGTTGGCGAGACACAATGTTTTCGTGTCCTTGATCAAGGCTGGCTGACCTAGGTGGATAGGTCTTGATGTAAAATATGGGACTGCACCCGCAAGATCCCGCAAGCTGTGTCGGCAACTGATATGTGAAGTTCTTTTCTACGCTTGCTGTGGCGCTTCCAAAACTGCGGTTGCAAAAGGGCCAGATGCACTTCAAGCGCTCCGTCCCTAAACATTTTAGCAAAAGCTTACGCCCCGCAAATCATTCAGCAGCGGAAACGAGGAAGAATTAATGCAAACGCTCCAAGAATTCCAAGGGTTGTACTCCAGATAGAGTTTCTGAAGGCGACTAAGGCCTTTGAATGTCCCCGCAGAAATTGTCGTCAATTGGTTGTCGCCCAGATTGAGTTCACGCAATTGACCAAGGCCTTGGAATGTCTCTGCAGGAATTCTGGTCAACTGGTTGCCGCGCAGATCGAGTATCTGGAGTTGATCAAGGCCTTGGAATGTCCCTGCAGGAATTGTCGTCAACTTGTTGCCGTACAGAACGAGTTCCTGCAGTTGGCCAAGTCCTTGGAAAGTCTCTGTAGGAACTGTCGTCAACTCATTGTACCTCAGATTGAGTATCTGGAGTTGACCAAGGCCTCGGAATGCCCCGGCAGGAATTGTGGTCAAAGCGTTCGCGTTCAGCATGAGTTCCTGCAGTTGACCAAGGCCTTGGAATGTTCCCGCAGGGATTGTGGTCAACTGGTTGCCGCCCAGATAGAGTTCCTGCAGTTGACCAAGGCCTTGGAATGTTCCCACAGGAATTCTGGTCAACTGGTTGCCGCCCAGATAGAGTTTCTGCAGTTGACCAAGGCCTTGGAACGTCCCTGCAGGAAGTGTCGTCAACTGGTTGAAGCTCAGATAGAGTAGCTGCAGTTGATCAAGGCCTTTGAATGTCTCTGCAGGAATTGTGGTCAATCTGTTGGCGCCCAAATAGAGTTCCTGCAGTTGACCAAGGCCTTGGAATGTCCCTGCAAGAATTGTGGTAAACTCGTTGCTGCCCAAATCGAGTTCCTGCAGTTGACCAAGTCCTTGGAAAGTCTCTGCAGGAATTCTGGTCAACTGGTTGCCGCCCAGATCGAGTATCTGGAGTTGATCAAGGCCTTGGAATGTCCCTGCAAGAATTGTCGTCAACTTGTTGCCGTACAGATCGAGTTCCTGCAGTTGGCCAAGTCCTTGGAATGTCTTTGTAGGAATTGTCGTCAACTCATTGAAATTCAGATTGAGTTCCTGGAGTTGGTCAAGGCCTTGGAATGTCGCTGTAGGAATTCTCGTCAACTTGTTGTACTCCAGATCGAGCTTGTGGAGTTGATCAAGGCCTTGGAATGTCGCTGCAGGAATTGTCGTCAACTTGTTGCTGCTCAGAGAGAGTTCCTGCAGTTGACCAAGTCCTTGGAAAGTCTCTGCAGGAATTGTCGTCAACTTGTTGCTGCTCAGAGAGAGTTCCTGCAGTTGACCAAGTCCTTGGAAAGTCTCTGCAGGAACTGTCGTCAACTTAGTGTACCTCAGATTGAGTATCTGGAGTTGATCAAGGCCTTGGAATGTCCCTGCAGGAATTGTCGTCAACTTGTTGCCGTACAGAAGGAGTTCCTGCAGTTGGCCAAGTCCTTGGAAAGTCTCTGTAGGAATTGTCGTCAAAAAGTTGTAGCTTAAGCTCAGCCATCGGAGCTTCTTTAGTCCTGCAAACGTAGCTGGGTCAACCTTCTGGAGCCAGTTTTCGCTGAGGTCGATCACCTGAAGCTGTTCGTTGTGTTTGAAGATGGCCCCGAGCTCCTCGATGCGATTGCCCTTCACGATGACTCTGTCATTGTTTTGCTTGTCCCGCTTGCCGCCCAAGAGAAGCTGCTTTAACAGCGGCAAATATTGCAGCATCGCAGCCGAGAGCTCGGTGAGCTGGTTGTCGCCTTGGTCAATGCCAATCTGTGACACCTAACATGTTGAGGAATGCGTGGTGTCCAGACAGTTGTGTCAAAGAAACAAAATGCTTTTGTGCAAATAGCTCCAGCTGCCGACAGGTGCTGCTGACAGGCGACTCAGCGCTAATAGTTTCAGCTGCTCCAATCCCCGAAAGGAATCGTCGTGAAGTCTTTGCAGCTCAACGCGTGTCAAGTCCAACTGCTCCAAAGATGATAGACCTGAAACAGCGGCATGAACATCACAATTTGTGTCCTTGCATGGCTACTCAAAGCCTTCAAAATGTCAGCCCTGGATTAAAAACTCAATAAACTCGGGGCTTGAATAATTCATGGAGGTTTACTGTAAAAACTGGGGGTTTACTGTGTATTAATCATTATTAATTCATGGGTTAGCATTATACGCAACTGTTCTTCGACGAATGCCGCTCAAAGCTTCCTGCCTTCGAAGAGACCCGGAGGCAGGTGGATCAAGGTGTTGTTCGCCAATGACAGGCGCTGCACATGTCCAAGTGAGCTGAAAGCCTTTGGGTCCACGGCAGTGATGTTCTTCGCAGCCAGGTTCACCTAAAGTCAGCACATGTCCGTAAGCATCCAAAAACAGATGGGTTTGTCCGAAAAGATGGTGCCTCAATAGTTGATGGTTTATCATGATTGTCACCATTGAATGGCCATTTTGGGGGTCTATCGTGGGGTCTCGGCCTACCCCCATTTTCAGACACACCCAGAAAAACAAACCGCCGGTGATCCGCCCGGCCTGCTTCTGTCTGAGGACGGCTGCAATGGTGCAGCTGTCAATCTGTTGGCCAGCCGAGTCAGCATTGTCAGAGCAACGGCACGGAAAACACCTAGGAGACACTTGTAATCCCATTCTACAACCTCTTGTTAGATCTTTTCATGAAGACCTCCAATGACAACAAGATACACAAACAATTCCCTGAGAGCCCAACGTGAAGTCCTGTCCATGGGTCATTGGAAAAACGTCCTGCAAAGGCGCTTGAACAAGTGTCGTCAAATCAAAATCACAGCTCGAGGTCACTCACGCAAATCTTATGCAGCAGTCCTGCGTGACAAGGAGAATCACCAGCATCGAAAGGAGCCCAATGGAAAGGGAGCACCCAAATAGTGCTGGAAGAACTCTCCGTTTTTGGCGCTCGCCCCTGACATGCTGTTTGCTGTTGTCAGTTCACAACGAAACTGTCATCTTTGCATGGCAAAATCTGGCATGGCAAGCTGTTTAGTCTTAGTGTCGAGGCCTGGGTCGCACTGGCAAGCTCCAATTGATGTGCTGCAAAATGTGTGCAATGCAGCATGCGTGTGCTAAGTTGAAATACACGGCGCCATAGCCCAGAAAGTCAGTGGGAAAGGCGAACACAGGGCTGATACGATTGCCTCAGATATCAAAAAAGTTGCGGTGAAGATCCCACTCGGATGGCGCCGCTATGCCATGCGAAACAAGGCGCTTGAGACGCTTGAGACACTTGAGGCACTTCACGTGATGCTGGTTGACGCATTGACTTCATTGAGCTTAGTTTCTGAATTGCAACGTCAAGTCCTCGCCAAAATTTCCCCAGCCTTCGGACACTGTCTGCAATCGCAGCATGGCCACCAAAACCTTGCAGCAATTACACTTTTGCGTTTCCCGACTGAACGCCATCTGCCAAGCCATCAATGAAACGACGTTGAAACCCGTGAGACTTGTCAAACCAAATGAATTGAAACCTAGGTGCCATACCCAGGTAGGTCAAGATGTAGCCCAGGTCCAAAGCAGCATCCATAAATGCTGCTCCAATTCGAGCCCAGGCAGTGTCAGGGAACATCAGAAGAAAGGCGGGATAGAGACTGTTCCAACAGAGTAGGGCAAAGAAAGCCCAGAAGCCGACACTAAGCCAAAGAATGGCAGTCGCATCTTGTTCTTCTTGGGCGAAGGTAACGAGGCCGCCCAACAAGGAGATCTTTCCCAAGGCCTGCACCGCAACGGTGAAGCATTGGAAGATCGCCACCTTGAAGGGGTAGTAAGCTCCGCGCAACCCAAAATACTTTTCCTCAGGAAGAACACCAAGATACAGCATGGAAAGGGGACCTTGAATCAAGTGAATTCTTGGATCCTGCGGAAAGCGTCAGTAATTTTCAAAAATTGGGACCCCCTTTCATATCTTTCATCCATTGTTGTATCACAATTTTCCGGTTTCAATTTAGAATGGTGACTGGAAGTAAACATTCCGAAAATTGACCCCATATCATCCATATCACAATTGTCCGGCTTAAACTGGCGAATGCAGGGCTGCACCACCTATTATTAAAATCTCCTTCGCAGATCACACAACAACTCCATCTGCCTAGAAACATAAAGCACCTCCGTGGGTCGCGGCCTCTTCCGACTCGTCTTTCGGCACAAGAGCTGTAACAGGAACACCACAACCAGGACCAAGTAGGGCAGGGCCAGAAATGCGGCCTCAGTTCCCGCTTCTTCATTCTGTAGTTTCAAGAGAAACACCACTGGAACTTGGATGAACTTGAAATGGTTTGCCATCAAATGACACAAATGAGTTCCGTAGCACAACAAATATTTTTGAAAATATCAAGAATGTGAAAGAACTCCCACACCTCCAAGAACGTCTCATTGGACTCCTCAGTGTCCAGCAGCAAGGCATCCAGAAGGAAGTCGGACAGACGAGAACGGATCCTGCAACGCATCTTGTCAGGCTGCGGCCTACGATGGAATTTGGGTACCCCAAGGTAAACATACAACAAGATGTGGAAAAACCATTGTTTCACTGTGACAATGATCTACAAATAGTGGATTTTCCACATCTATCTTAGTTGACCCCAGGGTAACCATGCAGCAAAACCTGTTGATAATTCGTTTCTTTCCTGATCATCGCTATCAACCCCTAGTAGCAATCTCCTACACGTAGTGGCATGGGCATGACGATTTTCATCCAGTTTCATGGCCAGAAGGTACCAGGGTGGGAAAAGACCGAACAGTCTCCTGGGAGCGTAACGGAGGAAATATTCGACGGCCATGAAGAAGGACACGACCAACGCCACAATCTGCAAGAAAATGGTCCCTGCCATGGTCAAAGGCCCGACACTGGATGCATCGTTGCAAAGCCTGGCACGGCGGCATGGCACTGGATGAAACGTTCCAACCTATCGACGTTGGACAAACCTGTCATGCCCAAAAGCCGTTTCATTCAAAAGCCATTTCATTTGATTTTCCTTCGGTTCCTTTGGTTCCTTTGGTTCCTTTGGTTTCGGATTTCTCGCCTCAGTGAAGTCTCCCATTTTGATTTCACGTCATCCAACAGCCCAAAATTGTCCGCCAACTTGGTCAAATCGCTCAGCTGATTCTCGAGCCTGCTCCAGGCATGGAATGGAAACTTCAAACTCAGCAACATCAACAACCAAAACACTCAAGACATCTCAGAAGTGGTTGTTTTCGAGCAGGCACGTCATAGCTTTCCCAGAAGAAATTTCTGGGGAGGCAAGTCGCTCAGTTCCATAAATCATGATGAAAGAACGTGAATCGGCTAGTTTTCAAGAGCGGGTGGGGTCTGAAACAGGTGATTGTGGGGTTCCATTTTGAGAAACCACCTTTTCAAGTCATCTGTGATGTGGCCTGGTCAAAGTGACATCCATGAGAAACACGGAGGAATAATAATCGTCCACCTGCAGAACTACCTGGCCAGCGGAAGCTTCACAGATGCAAAGTACATTGCCAAATTAGTCCGTTGCCAAGTTCAAGGAGTAGATGATTCTCAAAACACCGCGTTTTATGCTTCGATCCACTGTGAGGTATGGAAAAGCCATAATGTTTCATGATAATAAAGATCACTTCCCCCTCAATTTTGTCACAGATCAAGTGGAGACATCGAATTTTCGGTTATTTTGCTGATTTTTGGACTCCGCTCTAGGAAAGAAAACTGACATCTTACGGGGCACTTTATGTCACTTTTCAAGGCGTGGCCTGACAGCATTTTGGGCCGCTGGCAGCCCCGCTCATCTCGGCAAAGGTGTCCCGGACAGCAGCGATCCGCACGCCCAAAGCGACCATGTCT